AAGGAGCTCGTGCAAAAGGAGTGGCAGTAGTTTTAAACCTTTTTTTAAATCATACACTCCATAATCATGAAAAAATGTTTCTAATGTAACTTACTGTCTTAGGCCAGCAGACTATCGTGATCCTTGAAATGTGAATAACATGCAATGTCAATATTGCACATTGTTCAGCTCTACTAGTAAAAACCTTTAAATCTGAGTAAATTGTACAAGGTAGACTTCTAGGTTAGTCATGGAAAATGAGAACCATACGAAGTTTTTCTTTTGTATCAAGCAGCAAAAAAGTAGCAAACGTGTTTGATTTAATTTGCCTTACTTGACATTACAAGTCCCACCATGTGATTATTTCACATGCGTGAATCGTGATTACTATTGAGATGGTGTATCGTGCAGCCCTACCGCCCTAGAACCCGCTCTCCAATGGGGAACAGTGGCAAGGAGGTCAGGGCTTAAAACTGCCTGCATGCTGGCACCCTAAAGGGAAACCGTGGTTTAAAAAAAAAAAAAAAAAAACAAGTGTATGGAAAAGGTCGACCTCGCATCAACAGGAGGAGCACACACATGCCGCAGGGATGGGAAGCCTAGAGTACGTAATGCACGTCCACATTTGCTTGTGTGCTGTATTTTCTATTACATTTTTATAGTTTAAATCATATGTTTACAAGCCTGCCGATTGGCTGGTTTTGGTATCAGTTGAGCCTGTAGAGTTTGGTGAGGTCTGCTGATCCACGGATGATCTTTACTTTTTTGTGGAGGAAAAGTGCCACAACCCCTCCATCCTTGCCCCCACGCCTGTCGATCAGCTGATCCCAGCCAGTTCTCATGTGTCTATCAGCAGAATGCATCCATGTTCTCTTGCTGCCAGAGATACCCAGTCACAGCAGTGAGGTGACACAGCCTGTACTCAGAACAGCCCATTTCAGTGAACACGGGGGAACAAGTTCCGTCCCATCAGCCCCTGCCACAGGGCTGCCCGTCCCTGAATTCAGACCGATTCAGGTGCTGTGCGCTTTGTGAGTGTAGTGATTTTTGAAAACCGAAATGGTGTTTTCAAGGCTGCGACTTTTAAATCCCACAGAATCTTTCACCTTGGAGTCCTTCACGTATAAATGGATAATCGCGGACTCCCGCTCTCAAAGACTTAAACCCTGCGGCTGGCAATGGCCGCCAAGATAACGGTGAATAAGCCTTTAAGCTGTAGAGTGGAAGGTGCTAGGGTCACATTGTAGGAAACCTCTGGACTTAAGGAGGTGCGCTCACCTGAATTTGTAATGAATTTACAGGTGTCTGAATCGGTGGAAATGCATGCCACATAATCTGTTTAATCGCATGATCAAGGAAGGAGAATGGGCAGAGATTCATATTACTTAAAAAATGAGGCGATCTGTGTGGGCAGTCAGTGGAATGACATGCTGAATTGGGTGGGAAATCACCTGCTTCCTTTTCCACATCCCTGTGCAGAAGCCCATCGAGATCAGCAGGAAGACGTACTGTCAGTTCAACCACTACGTGGTGTCCATGGTGAGCTGCCTGTGGAACTCCAGGGCCTTCCAGGCTGGCACAGGCCTGGAGGTGGGCGCCGACGTGCTGTCCCGCAGCCGGGTGCCTGAGCACTGGGCTCGCTTCAGCCTGATCCACCACCCGGCCTTCCTGGCCTATGCTATCGACTTTCACCAGAACGTGAGTGCACAGCTCTGTATGAGTTTCCATCATGCTTTTCACCTGAGCCTGGTGTTACATCCATGGTGATTTGGTTGGTAGATTTCTCAGTAGTTTAGGGTTGTTCTCTTCTCTATCGCAGGTACATTTATTTTCTGCCTGTCTGATGCTTTAGTCCCAGTTTGCCCTCTACCCATTTAATGTAGAATTAGTGCTGATGCCGCTGTATTATAGCAATAAAGTGCTGGATATAACAGCTCTTAAAACTGTGCTGCTATAAAATAATCATGTGAGCTATGGTTTTGAAAAGCCAGGAAGTTTGACCAATGTTAGAAGTTCATTCCACTGTGAGGGTGGGGCAGGGGTGGAGCGGTCGGGTGCCCAGCAACAAGTCACCACAGAGGCATTGGTCGCTACCCGATGGGATTCAGTTCCCCTTGGGAAGCCTGTGCATGCTGGTGCTGGTCTTCTGCTGAAGTCACTGAAATCTCCTGCAACCAGGAAAGGAGGGTACATGTTGTCCAGAAAATACCATGGCCAAATTAGATGAAGCTGTGCTCCGGGCAGGCCTGCTAATGCCTATGGGGCCAGGTGCCGTATCCCATGCAGGCCTACTAATGCTCATGGGGCTGGGTACCGTACCACATGCAGGCCCACTGATGCCCAGGGGGCCGGGTACTGATGCAGGCCAGGTGCTGTAAATTGTCTTTTGTTGAGCCAAAGGTACTTGGGAATGGTGATGCCAATTTGTCTCATTGAACTTTATTGACTTTCAGCAGCATCAGATTTCATTTGCGATGTTGAATATTGAGGTGCCTGTTTTAAGGGGTTTAATATAAGAAGTGTCTTTGGCTCTAATCCAGCTATTGGCATTATCCTGTGGTGAATGGTGGACACTCACTCACTTATTTTTATCCTTTAAAAAAAATTTCTTCCATGTCCAGTGTTGGCCAGAGAAGATGACGATGGACCTTGGTTCAATAAAGGTATGAAACACCATATACATCTTAATAAAAATGTGCTGTAAGCCAAAGGCATTCAGAGCGATGCTTCCCTGAATTTTGGAATGTGTCATCTGTCGTTTTGGAGGGACTGGTATGCACTCAAATGGCCTCAGACTGGCGATCTTCTCTCCTGCAGGGTAAATATTGGGATTGGTTCGTGGAGTTCCTCTTCTGCCAGGACTTCCACGGCCTGAAGGAGTTCGTCCAAAGCAGCATGAATCGCAGGACATCTGCCCAAGGGTCCAAGCAGAACTCTAACCGCAGCCAGGAGGATGCAGTGGCTTCATAACGAATGCGCTGGAGGATTATGGGTAGAGGGGAGGTTAAACTTGTCCTGTTGTAATAAATATCCTGCAAACATCACTGCCTTCTCCTTTGTAAATAAACTTGAGTATTTTACTCTGTATACTTTTGTAACTTTAATGTATAGCATTTTTTACATATAGTTTCCTCGCTTGTACAGTGTATCATGCTGTGTAAACCTTAGCTGCAATAAAAACAATGAAACAGCTTTTCTGCCTGTGCATGTTGGTGAGTTTTATAATGTACCACAGTTTACGCTTCAATGACCCAGCTGACTGAACTGGCCACCCTGTTTGCCACTCGGCGGGGGGGTCATTGATTACTGTTAAATCATTTGTGTCTGTTGGGGGTCGTTGGTTCAGCCATCTGGAAAACCACATTTTGCGGTAATTGAAAACCTCCTTGGAACAGTTAAAGAAAGGTCCCACCACTGCTACCTTGATTCATGTTCATGTCCAGCAAAAATAAATTGCGAATTTAGTTTGGAGAGGTGAAACACCAGGTGTGATGGTGCATTTTAGGAAGTTCAGACTTGGGAGAAGTGATGTCGTCTGAGCTGAAGAAACTTTCTGCGCCAGTGTGACTAACACATACTGATGATCTGTTTTTTTAAAAAAGTTCTTTATCATATTGTGTATGGGTGAGTTTTGATTAGGGTGAGTTAGGCTTATTAAAAGGTCGCGATAGAAGCTTCGAGGATTATAGCCCTTAACGTTTAATTTATTTCCTTCCAAGAGGTATTGACACTCCTGTAAAAAAAATAAAATAAAAGTTTTTCTTATAAGGAAATCCGCATAGCGGATTTTTCTGTTTTTTTTGTTTTTGTATTTAGGGTCATCCTAGTGAAGACTGCGTAGATAATTTGGTGTAGTTAGCAGGGATGGTCTTTAAGGGCAAGATTTCCTGGTAGAATTTCACCAGTGATTATTCGATTAACATTCGATAAATCCCACCACACTCGGAGAACCATGTATGCTGTGCGGATCAAAATATTTTTTCTTTCCATACAAATTGAGATCACTCGTTTCAAAAGGAAAACGGAAGGTATTAAAGTAGCGTGAATAAATGTATCTGAAAGTGAAATTAAACTGATGGGAGACCTCAAATGTAGCCTACTAGGATACAATAACATTTCATATCCTGTGCCTTGGGCAATAACGGCGAATGGAATTTCTTTTTAGTTACACAATCGTATAATACTTACCTGCCATGGACAAGAAAAGGAGTTGAAAATTTACTGTAAGCCTATATAATACAAATCCTATAAAACGTATCTACCAATAGTCTGTCTACTGGGAAAGACAAATCAATAGTTCGCGTTCACTCTCATTCAAAATTTTAAGAACGTATTTCACTGAGCACGATTTTCAAGAACATTTTAACGACAACCTAAATATACATATAAAATTAACAGCAGAAACATCATTGTTGCCACGAGATTTGCCAACAGACACAATCTGTGCCGATAAATCACTTGCTTTTGCTCAGTGTATCGTATGGAATCCAAAATATTTTTATTCAGCGAAAGATTAATATCTCCGGGGGATCAGTACTTGTTCACCTCACTCATTTTGCTTAAATTTCTCACAATCGCGCCACGCTATGAATGTGCCTAGACGAAGATAATTACGTCTGGCTCGGAGATCGCATGCAGAGCTCAAGCAAAAAAAGTGGAGGCAAACTTCAGAACGAAAAAACCGCGAACTTATTGGAGAACGGATAAATCACAACTAATTATATTGCTAACAATATTTCCAACAGTGCAGTTATTGTAAGATTCTAATGGATGGATTTTTTATACATATCAGAATATTTGACGATGCTGACTCATCCCTAGATATTGTCGACGTCCGATTACATAAAATTTTGATATATATACATATATATATATATACATACATATATATATATACATATATATATATATATATATATATATATATATATAAAACAGGTGGATGTAAATAAAGCAAACGGAGGGGCATTCGGTGACGGCTGCTCTGCGATCCCCCTTAAGCAGCCCCCTCTGATGTCAGCATTAGGACCCGAGAGATCTCTCTTCATCGGATCGGCGTCTCAAGCACATCTCCCTCTCTTTCCGATCCACTCTCTCCCCACTTTCTATTCATCCGTCTATCTGACACTGGAACGTTTCTATCAGACAAGCCAAGTCTGCTCCTTGGCTCTCTGAGGGTCCTTACGATACCGGGGGTACCAGACGGTACCGAAGCAAGGTATGATATACTTGTTATACTTTTGCTTTGATTAAAGGGAGTGATTCCGTCGTCGTATAATGTGGATTTAACGTGGCTTTGGAATAAGTGTGGTTTAATTCGGTTAAAATGTAAAGGAAGCATCGCTGATTGGTGCATTAAAGCAACATGAAGTCTTATGCAGGCTCAGGTTGCGTGGGAAAATTGAGGCTCCGGGATCGATTTAAAATGGATATGTCCGTATATATGTGAAGTGGAGATGTTTGCCATATGTTTACTATGGTGTGCATGGAGATGTCTGCCTCATTAAGCGCCTGCATGAGTATTTGTTTTATATTTATATTTTATATTTATATATTGGACAGAAAGTGTGCGGAAGGAATTACGTTGCTGGTGGGAGGTTTTGCTGTGGAGCAAAAGAGGAAACGAGTAGTTTTTTGGGATAAAGGGTTCGGAAGGATTTGCAGTTAGGTGAATACTGACATCTTTAGTTAAAGATATTTCGTTTCGGAGATGCGGTGTTCTATCTGGTGTTGCCGAAAGTATTACATTTACATGCTGGGGTGTGCCTTTTAACGAGAATGACCACTTACGCATTATCACATATTTGAATATATGCTATTTTTTATCGGGTGCCCGAATAATAAATCTCCAGAATAGAAAATGCATGCATGCAGAATGGATTACATTAGATCATTCAATGACTGAACTTTGTTAACAAGTTGACAAGAGCAGTTGATATTCTAGCCTTGTGCAATATGTATGTGTTTGTATGTAGCCTATCTATATGTAGGACCGATATATATAGAATCCGTATAGATGCGGTATATACGCATGCATACAGGTGTATATATTATTATTAATATTTAATATCTTGTATATTGGATGTATGATTGACAGGGGTGTCAATGATGAACGGATGCCCTTTCTGGTTTTATATTTTTATTGATCGTTATTTCATCCTAAACTGCTCGGTGGTCCAGAAGAAACGATACTTCATTCGCCATGTGGGGCATGGTGCAAAAATGTTTTTGTAGGCTACATGTATCCTTATATATAGACATGAAGAATGTTGAAACTTCAATCTTGAAAATTTAGAACCGTATATAAAAAACATCTCCTTCCACAGTCTGCAGAACAATGCCTAGCTTGGAGAAGACGGTTAAAAATCTCAGGTACGAAGCGTGATCTGATCTTAGTTAAAACCACTACGGGCAAGAGCGCTGATGGCGGTTCGGTTCGGCGGTGGCCTTATAGTCGGCTCGGTATGGGAGCGCTGGGGTCCTCGGCTGGGCAGTCGCACCGTAAATCCTGCGACACGCAGTCTGTGTTTGTGTGGGAGAGGGAGTGAGCGAGAGAAAGAAAACGGTCTGCCTCTTCCGGGAAAAGGTAATCAACAGTAAATAAGCCGGCTTATTAAACGCGGACTCTCACCTACCCACCTCTCTCACACCTTCCCTGCCCGCCGTTAAAGCCCTTTATTGCCTTCACTTACCGCCTTTACATTGTATTTTCTTTTTTTCTCTCCGTCTATCCAGCCCCAAGACAAGCGTCTGTTATGTTCACGTAGAGCGTTCATCAAAACACAAGACAGACACTAATTAGACTGAGGCGTTAAGTTTCCGCAGCTGAGCAGGGTCAAAAAAACCATGGATGGCTGGAAACCGCTGTACAGATCAACGATATAAAACGGGATTTATCTGGTAATGGAGGAGGTTGGTTCATAGCCATGATGTGATCCTTCATCTTACATTAGACTCATGGCCTTTGAGCAAACACGCAGGGCCAGATTTAAGAGTATTAAGTGGCCCTGGGCAACAGCACATATGACGTCAGGTCAGAAAGAAAAGGAGCTGATTGGTGGCTCTCGAAATTCAGAAATGCACCTAACACAAGGATAACGTTACGTATAGGCTTTTCAGTGTATGCCATATTAACAGAACAATATGCAATCACATTAAAATATTAGATATTAAATTGCATTATTCTGTTGTAAAAAATCCGTGAATGGAATTGGGGGGGTTTTGAGGGTTACACATGCCAAATTGTCTATAAGGACAAGGACAAGAGGGCATGGATAATCTATTTTCCATGCATGATTTTTTAACCTTCAATTGCTTTCATGGTTCCTCCTAAGTGTGTATTTCACATGTGTGATATTTATGAGGGTTCCCTGCTTTACTTATGCTGGTCAGTCTTTTGCTATTATTAATCAGTTATCAGTTTCTGGTCCAGAAATATGGCTGGACATTTAATGCACAAATAAGATGATTGTGATTCTGCACTTCTTAAATATTCTTTGTGATTTGTGCTCTCCACTAGAGAAGAAATTAACTCCTTCTGTTTTCCAGTTATTGATTGGCAGGTAATCATGTTACAGGTAGCACCTATAGAGGGCGCTTTTGAAAAGTGTGATACACAGGTGTTGCTTGATTTAAATCAGCATTTGGTTTGCAGGTGATTAAAACAATCGGGTAGTTGACATTTGACGGGGAAACACTGTAGCCATTGCAAAGTGCCCCCAGCGATCTGGAAGTCTGTAAGATCCCCCGGTTTTGCTGGGATTCACTATCCTGTTATGTTTTGGGTTACTGGGGAGGGCCGACTTACAGATGTGTGGGAAGGATGTAATCGATTTATTTGGATGGGGGCTGTGTGTGTACTGGCCAAAGGATACACCTACTTGCCAGGTTAGAGCCTCAGGTGGCTGTCCATCATTTTACCCACCCCTTAATTTCCACTTCTGATTGGCTCGTCAGAAGGTACCTGGCACAGCCTGTCATGTCGCATCACCAAGGACCCAGGGCTGAAATGGACTGAAGCCGAAATAAAAGTTGGGGTCAGTATAACACGTGGAGGGAAACAATCCTGTAACTCCATAAATCTCCCCTCCCCACCCCCAAAGGCAGCCAGCCTGGTCCCTGGTGACTAGTGAGTATTATTTAGTATCTGGAAGGAGATGCTCCTATATTCCGGCTGAATAGGTTCCTGTCCAGCGAGTTCACTGCTAACACATTTATGGGGCTAATTTACCACCCAGCACCTCTGGAGATGCGCTGTCAGCTTCGGCCTGAAAATGGCACGTTCCAGAAAAGTGGCTGCTTTGTGTCAGTACTCAGGATATCAGTACTCAGGCTATCAGTACTCAGGATATCAGTACTCAGGATATCAGTACTCAGGATATCAGTACTCAGGATATCAGTACTCAGGATATCAGTACTCAGGCTATCAGTATGCAGGGTGTCAGTATTCAGGGTGTCGGTACTCAGGGTGTAGATACTCAGGGTGTTAGTACTCGGGGTATCAGTACACAGGGTGTCAGTACTCAGAGTACCAGAGCTCAACTCCTTACTGGTGTTTCACCAGGACGCTGCAGTAACTCGTACAAAAATAATAGTGACTCTAACAACTTGAAAAAGTTACTGTGTAGTTATTACCCTGGGCTAAGGGGGGGCAGTTTCTTTAATTAAACATTGAAAAATAATGGAGCCCTCCAGCAAGATAACCTCAGTGTTTGGATGGGGGGTTGGGGAGACTATTGTGATTATCATCAATGGGGGCCAACTCCAACTTATGATGGTGCTAATCGCTGCCGCCTTTAATGGCCGCCTGTTTTATGACTGCGCCTCAGCCACTGTTATCTGTGGCCCATTAGTCTGCCTGCGCAGGTGAACATTTAAACAGCGAGATGGCGGCATTCCGTTTTCTTAATTTTTGATGTCTTTCATCCTGTGATTCTGGGATGCTTTGCCTTTTCGCCTTCTCCCCTCCTAATGTATTGTAATTAAACGCTGCGTGCTAATCGGATGCGGTTTCACTGGCCCACATCTTTTCTTGTGCTTTTTATTTTCTATTATTTTTTCTTTATTTTATTTCTTTGGCATTACAAGTTAGAGCAGAAAGGGCGGCATGCCGTCAGTGGTAATTAATTATCCCTGTGTGATGGTCTGCACTCTCTCTCCTGATGCCTTACAGACTGTGTTTATGGTTTTGGCTGGCAGAGAAACAGATATTCAATATTTACAAGGTGGCAAAAAAAAAACCCCGAATGACTTTGGATTCGTTGGGGACAGAGGGCCATGGGTAAGCGTTTGAAATGTGACTTCAGTGGAGTAGGCTGTATACAGAATGAGGGGATGGAGATGAGGGGACTCTTGGTTGCCCTCTATAGGTAACTGATTGATCATCTGTTGTGATTTGCTATTTAGCATCATCTGTGTGAACAGGAGTGATTTCGATTCTTGGCATCGCACCTATTCAGCAGCACCTGTGACATCCCCGCCCCATATGGTTCTGGAAAGTACCGTTCTGTCGACACAAGATCTGTTCAGGGTTTCTCTCTATCTGAGCCGCTCATTAATTCTGCTAATTGCTCTGTGCTCTGCTTAATTGAATATCGTCCCTTGAAAGCCTGAATGTGGGAGGCGGGGGGATTTCATGCTTTCTCTAAAGCTCTGTGCAGGTGCAGCCTGGGGGGGCGAATGCCGTGATCCCGTCCTTATCACCCGAACACCCAGGAACCCACCAAGGGAACAAGTTCATCGAGCATTCTGGGAAAAGGCAGGACCAATGGGGGCTCCCACAATCCCCCAGCTCTGAAGCCAAAGTGGCATTGCTCTGCTTGGTCGACGGAGGCCTCAGATCGTTTATCACATCCTGACACCCTCGCCCCCCCCCACACTCCCATCAGCCTCTCAGATTTATGACTTTATCGAACAGGAAAGGTCTCTCTGTTGGCCAGTAATTAATTCTGTCTGGGCTCATTCACTGTCTTAGGTGCTTATTCTCTTTATGTCATTTTGCTTGTCGTCTCTGTAGGGACAGTGGGTGGCCTCATTCGCTGCCAGTGGAGGGGGTTTGTCCCATCATGAAGCGGATTGATGCTGCTGGTTACAGAGTGTTTCTTGGGACTTCCCAGTACTGCCAGACCAGCTTAGTGATAGTGCTGCCATCATCTGCAACAGCCTTTAATAACAATAAGAATAATGCTGACAAATATCGTCTCTGTGGAGGATTTCTTA